CCTCCCCCCCCCCCCCCCCCCCCCCACCTCATCGTTTGTTTTTGTTTTTTCAGGGGCAAGAATTGTATGGACTTACTGCATGGCATTTTTTGTTCTTTCAAAAGTATTGTTACCGTTCGCTAGTTTTGGAGTGAGAAATAACAACAAAAGCTTATTGTTGGGTGTTTGGTGTTGTAAAGGGATAGAAAGAGAGAGAAAAAAAATAATCATAACCAACTAGTAATCAAGGAAATGCATCATTGAGATCAAAAAACCTACTTAATGAAGACTCAATCTCATAGACTAGCACTGCACCAGGCCATTTTTTGGTTATAATTGAGCCCCGGACATCGCCAGCTCCACTCTCAATCATAAATGCCTGATAAGGCGTCAACTGCATGTCTCCCTCATAAAGACCAGCATCTCGTCCGTCGAGCTCGAGATTTTCTAAAGGCAAGGCAAAGCTAACTATTAAAAGACATACTCGTAGGCATGGTTAGCTATTATAACGCAATTACAACTCGACCTGAATTGGTCTTGGTTTGTTCTAATCAGTTCACCAGATCGTTACAAGATTCTCGACAACGTTCCGAGGAGCTCGAAATGATCAAATTTTCGGCTTTTTTTCGAATAAATCAGGTACTATTAGTTGCAGATATAGGCGTTCTCCTGTGCATGCTTACCTTCTGGGTTTGAAGCTAAGGCGACCGCGAGAAGCCCGCAAAACACGAACAGCAACTTCATGTCCTTCTTGTTACACTAGAACACTGTGTTCAAAATGATTGTGCTGACGCACTTTTTATATCGCACAAACATCACATATAGAGTTTACATATTCGGCTTGGGACATCTGCAACACCTGCCCAAATATCAATTCTGAATGATACTGCAATTGAAATTAAAACTGCGCTGCATGGAGAAAAATTGCGTACAAGCTCTCGTTACACAGTGCTATTATGTTTAAACAGCTGCCAAGTCCCGTCCTCACTTGTTTAGTTTCATTTCGTTTAATTGTTGTTGCTGTTTGTTATCACCATAACGCCATTTTGCTGTCAAGCATTATCTCATTTTACTTATGATACCTGAAAATAAACATTTCTACAATGGTAGACAAACGTCCATAGGACACTAAATGATGGAACGCAACGAATTACCTGTGTTTTACGTTTGAAGTTTGAAAAAACGCGTGGCTATCCTTTTAAAAATACTTGCTGCCCCCCCTCCCCACCCAATACAGTGCTGAAACTCAGGAGAAATTACAGGAACTATTTTTCAACCTATTTAAACCTATTAAATATGGAGTCTAGAGGCATTCTTGGGGGTTATCGGGATACGGGATATGGGATACCGGATGTTTGGGGAAATAATGGGATCTGGGATATTCAGAACAGATTGTCCGGGATATTAAATAGGAAAACTGTTGATTTTCGAATGATTCAAATATCGGGATAGGGGATATTTAGGCCAAACATTCGCGTGGAAATAAGATACTTAGACCGTAGCCAATGGGGCATCAGTCTACAAGACATGCAATTCATACACATCAAATGTCAACCAAATCTTGTCGATCAACGCTATGACGGCGATTGCGTTCGATATTTCAATTTAGGGTGAAACGAGTTTGCATTTAGCGACACGTGCTGTCAAGGAAACCTTTGCAGAAAACTGTAGCTCAGCACTACGAGCCTTTTTTTTGTTAAGAAGATTGGGCACTAGTTGGGTACGGATCGTTCTTTGTAGCCCCGGTGGTATTGTTTGCATTGATTGTTCACACTGAGATTTCACAACTTGTAACAGATACAGATCATTGCACAACTTACTAATTTTTTTTCAAAATGCAATCCTCGATTTGCACTTATTCGTGTTTGTAAAAAAAGGGGGGCTAAAAATTGTAGTCCTGGTTTTGTTTTAGATTGAGAGTGTGTCAATGAGAAAACCAGGCAGGAGTTGATACGATTTCGCTCAAACTTGGCTCTATGTTGAGTTTGGTGATTGAACGATTATGGCAAAAAATTAGGTCAAAATATTTTTTTTCCCCTTCAAGTTAGGAGTTCCCTACAAAAATGGCAATTTGTCACTAATTTATGGATATTTAATCAGCTGTCTTTGGTTCAGTACAATTTCCACAACATGATCCACCGGGAATTTCTAGGTCATATTTTATGGTTGGACATTCGTTTCAAAATTACGACAGGGTATACGCGGGTTTTTCTGTCGCGTATACTTGTTTACATACGTTACGTATAGGCTTTAAGCTCATATATACGACCATTTAGATCGCGTATATACGCATTTTTTAAGGGCCACATATTTGCG